GTTATGATGTATTGTTATGGAGTCAGATACCTGGCAGTATAGAAAGTCACTCAAATCATGTCCATCTTTAGCAGCTGCCAAAATAAAATGATGTTTACATTCATTAGATTATAATCCAGGTGTTTAATTAACATTCATTAGCAAAATAGCCATTCTGCATGATGACGACTTTAAGTACATTTTGATGCGAATACTTTTGTTCTCGTACTTGAATGCCAGACTTAACTTGTATTTTCACACTGTGGTATTATTACTTTTACTGAGATTAAAGATCTGAGTATTTGTCCACCTCTGTTTATCACTCCACATCATCAACTGGAGGTCATTGTCTTCAAAGGGTCCAGTTTATCAGCGCTGGACAGAGCAGTGTTTGAGAGGGGCTCAGAGAGATGGAAACAGCAGAGTCACAGCTCTCTTCTTTCACTCCAATCTGTCACAGTTAAGCTCTGCTCGCCTTTCACACTCACATGGCTGAGGGTCGCCTTCATTTGTCCCCCAGGTCACAGAAACACGCTCAGATACAACTCTAAATATATTGCTGCACAGCTAGGCAAAATGTCATGGAAAATGGAATAGAGTGGTGCAGGAATGAGTCCTAAACTTGAAATGAGTCTGCATTTCAGCACTTCCTGTTCCCTCGTCTGGAAGTCACTGTTTTTTTTTATATGTTTTAGTTTAGAAGCCTGAAATGAAGTTTGTGGTTAACACAAGCTGAAGATATTTTAAAGTTTTGTTCTACGACATAACATACTTCAGTAAATAGCCCACTGGTGAGGTTTCTTAAAAACGCTGGTCGCTAAAAATGTGTCTAAATTAGACGACTTAATGCCATCACACCCATCATTAGCCGCCTTTAGCTTAGCGGTGGTGACGGGAAGTCGTGTGACCGTGCTGTAGTTATTTTATAGCCCAATATTAGCGACCTTTAGCTTAGCGGTGGTGACGTGAAGTCATGTGACCGTGCTGTAGTTAGCCCAACATTAGCCACCTTTAGCTTAGCGGTGGTGACGTGAAGTCATGTGACCGTGCTGTAGTTCCTTTATAGCCCAACATTAGCCACCTTTAGCTTAGCGGTGGTGACGTGAAGTCATGTGACCGTGCTGTAGTTCCTTTACAGCCCAACATTAGCCACCTTTAGCTTAGCGGTGGTGACGTGAAGTCATGTGACCGTGCTGTAGTTCCTTTACAGCCCAACATTAGCCTCCTTTAGCTTAGCGGTGGTGACGTGAAGTCATGTGACCGTGCTGTAGTTAGCCCAACATTAGCCACCTTTAGCTTAGCGGTGGTGACGTGAAGTCATGTGACCGTGCTGTAGTTCCTTTATAGCCCAACATTAGCCACCTTTAGCTTAGCGGTGGTGACGTGAAGTCATGTGACCGTGCTGTAGTTCCTTTACAGCCCAACATTAGCCACCTTTAGCTTAGCGGTGGTGACGGGAAGTCATGTGACCGTGCTGTAGTTATTTTATAGCCCAACATTAGCCACCTTTAGCTTAGCGGTGGTGACGTGAAGTCATGTGACCGTGCTGTAGTTCCTTTATAGCCCAACATTAGCCACCTTTAGCTTAGCGGTGGTGACGTGAAGTCATGTGACCGTGCTGTAGTTCCTTTACAGCCCAACATTAGCCACCTTTAGCTTAGCGGTGGTGACGTGAAGTCATGTGACCGTGCTGTAGTTCCTTTACAGCCCAACATTAGCCTCCTTTAGCTTAGCGGTGGTGACGTGAAGTCATGTGACCGTGCTGTAGTTAGCCCAACATTAGCCACCTTTAGCTTAGCGGTGGTGACGTGAAGTCATGTGACCGTGCTGTAGTTCCTTTATAGCCCAACATTAGCCACCTTTAGCTTAGCGGTGGTGCCGTGAAGTCATGTGACCGTGCTGTAGTTCCTTTACAGCCCAACATTAGCCACCTTTAGCTTAGCGGTGGTGACGGGAAGTCATGTGACCGTGCTGTAGTTATTTTATAGCCCAACATTAGCCACCTTTAGCTTAGCGGTGGTGACGTGAAGTCATGTGACCGTGCTGTAGTTCCTTTACAGCCCAACATTAGCCACCTTTAGCTTAGCGGTGGTGACGTGAAGTCATGTGACCGTCCTTATAGCCCAAAAGTTATTTTTTCAAAGTCATGCAGACCTAAATACATATTTAATAGTGTTGTCACATATAATGTGTCTCAGGCGTTTGTTTGTTAAACAATGCTGATTCTACCCACACTGCTCACTCAGGCTCGGTGGAGGCACTGGAGCTGAAAGGCCAGCAAACTTCAGAGAGAGAGAAGCGTCCTTGCGCACAGAGCTGAGCGAAACTTTTTCCGATTAATGAAAGCTTTAAATCTTCCAGGCGGGGCGGATTCTGTCAAAGTGCTTGCATGAGATAAAAACATCTTGTGCACAGATCTGAGTAGTGGAAATGTTTAATTCCTAGGTCTACTTGTACAGCTATCAGTCTGGAAACATGCACCCACAAAACGGTCTTCTGAAATCCGATTATCTGTTATTAATACACAATGAGCTTTCTCAGTTGCCGGTATATGAGGCACAACTGGCTAAAACAAATGCAGTCTCTTTTTAACCCTTGATTAAACAATAAAAAAAACTATTCAATTATGAAATATATGCAAAAACAACACCAAAAGTATTATTATATTACTGCAGACTGTTGTCTTAGCTTAATAAGACTGCATTTGTTATAAATAGGTGTTCCAAATAAACTGAGTGGACTGGGCTTTAGCAAATCTGACAGTAAATATGATTTATTGGTCACAGAGTTCTTCATTGTGCTTACAGGGGAGTTGTTGGCACTAAAACCGGTCCTGTCCTGAGCCTCCCCTCCGACTGACTGCTGTGCTGACTGCATAGTAATGAAGCCTCAACCTGACTGACTGAGTCCTTGAGAGTCCGTGCTACCGGCCTCTATTCCTCATTTTACATCTGAATATAGTCTATATTAACAGACTGTATTCATCTGTCAGGGTAATTTATGACCTCTAGGAAAGTATTAAGCACCTGTCAGCTCAGAAGGAACTGCTCATCTTTGCTCATGATTTATTACTTTCATGTGTCTGGAGTGTTGGACGATAGGACTGTAAATACCCAGAGCGGAAGAAATGTTTCCAAGGGAAGACATTTTACAATAGAGTGGTGCTGGAATCCCAACAAACGAGAATAAGTCATCATTTGAACACTTCTGGGTCGCTTGTCTTGAAGTTAATTGGTTTTTAGAATAGGTTTTTGGGGAGAAGCCTGAAATGAGGTCTGTGGTTAACACAAGCTGCAGAGATTTTAACACTTTGTTCTACGACATAAAATATAATAATAATAAATTTTATTTATATAGTACTTTTCACAACTCAAAGACGCTTGAATATGCCAGTAAATACCCCACTAGAGAAGTTTCTTTGTGTCTAAAAAATGGCGGTTGGTAAAGAGTGACTAAATTAAGCTGCTAAACATCATCACGTTGAACATAGCTGCCTTTAGCTTAGCGGTGGTGACGTGAAGTCATGTGACCGTGCTGTAGTTCCTTTATAGCCCAACATTAGCCATCTTTAGCTTAGCGGTGGTGACGTGAAGTCATGTGACCGTGCTGTAGTTCCTTTATAGCCCAACATTAGCCGCCTTTAGCTTAGCGGTGGTGACGTGAAGTCATGGTACCGTGCTGTAGTTCCTTTATAGCCCAACATTAGCCGCCTTTAGCTTAGCGGTGGTGACGTGAAGTCATGTGACCGTGCTGTAGTTCCTTTATAGCCCAACATTAGCCACCTTTAGCTTAGCGGTGGCGACGTGAAGTCATGTGACCGTGCTGTAGTTCCTTTATAGCCCAACATTAGCCTCCTTTAGCTTAGCGGTGGTGACGTGAAGTCATGTGACCGTGCGTGTACTTCCTTTATAGCCTATGCTTAGCTTTATACTTCTGGAGATTGCATTCACACTTCAAAGATTATAAAAGTTTTGTTTATGTGCAAAGATTATACTAAAGGGAAAATTATGTAAGTATCATAAAGTGTGTTTGCCACAGGGTTTATTGCCTGTAATAAAGCAAAATCCAATGAAAAAAACATTGGCTTTCTGTGGAGGAAACCAGGGTGATGCTACCTTCAGGGTTGGCCTATAAAAATATGTCATCTCTGCACCACTCTATATAATTTCCAACGCAGTAATGATTCTCATGTGAACTCTGGATGTCGTGAATCATGCTGCTCGGCAAAGTAACGTGTTTCTGCAGACGATGAAGTTGTAAATACAGAGCAGGAAGAAGAGGAAGAACTGTCTTTGAACTGTGATTTATTTTGACAGTGTTTTGTCAGTTTTTAAAAAGAAATTTCAGCAAATCATTATATTTTGTATTCTCTTAAAATATTTTTGTTTGATTTGTTTTGTGCCTTTTATTACACTGACTCAGAAATCAGGCTGGTATTTATTCATCAACAATAACACCTGTAACACTGGGAGTTATAGTTTTAAAGAGCAATAAAGCTTTTGATGACATTAGAAATATTGTTGGTTAGTTTTAGTACAGTGATGAAGTACAGTAGGGTTATTCTAAGGCTGGAGTCAATATGCAATCTCACCATCAAATTTGAGTGCATGTTATTTTAATCATGTTCTTCTCAGGCTCTAAATCTCTCATCTCCTTCTCCTGTTGTAAATCCTGAAAGGCACAATCCTTATAATGCTTTCCATCTGTCAATCCTGCTTTGTGTATTTATATTTAATACGAATTGTCCTCATCTTGTGCTTGGGATTATTTTCTTATAATAAAAGGATTTCTACAGCGGTCGTAGGCTGGAAGTACTGTTCATCAAAGCACTGAATGTACTGCAGACAATAAACAGCATTTAAGATGCATTGACAACAAAACTGGAGATATATTGATGTGCTGTCAACCATACGGTGGGGAGATAACTTCTGCTGCTGTCCTGTAATGAACACTCTGTAAACCCCAGTGACTCTCCAATGATGGCGACTGACAGTTCAATGTTGATGTTTACTGCATTTCAGATGGGAAATGCTTCAGACACATCTGCTGTGTTTGCCTCCACCATCTCCAAGGAGCACGACATCATCATGGGTTCCCTCTACGGCGTCTTTTGTGAGTCCACACACACAACAAACATCATCCATCTCATCCTGCATGAATCCCACAGGTGACCGGTCTCTTTCTGTTTTCAGGCGTACTGTCCCTCGTAGGAAACTGCATCCTGCTGCTTGTTGCGTATCACAAGCGGTCGACCTTGAAGCCTGCTGAGTTTTTCATCATAAATCTCTCCATCAGTGACCTCGGGATGACGCTCTCTTTATTCCCATTGGCAATTCCATCAGCGTTTAAACACAGGTACCGCACATCCATTTCTGTCTTCGAACAAGTGGAATCAGCGACTATTTTACTATCAAAGATGCTAAGCCTTCCCTGATTGCAGCCTTTCAGTTTGGCAAATGCAAAAACCATCAAATTAATCGCATTGTTCAACGTTGGTAAAACACAAACAAATAGACAGCAATTGACCCCTTCTGTGGAGCAACACAATCAATTATAATTGGCCTTAGAAAATAAAGTAATTACAAGGGCAAGAATTATATAAATTATTAAAAAGCTTTTCTGCCTGTGCTCAGAAGATGTTTTATTCCTGAAGCTTTGGCATTGTGCCTCCTTGCAGCTGGACATACAGTTTATGCTTTATGGAATAAAGATTGAAGCCAGTTCGGGGGAACAGAGAACGAAAAGGCGGCCAACAAAAGTTAACATAACAAAAGGTTTTACGGCTGTCAAACCAACTCGGTTGAAAAGAACACTTTAAAGTGGACCTATCATGCTATATTTGAATAATATAGGGTAGGACCATACCTATATAAGGCATATTTATACTTTTTTTTTTTCAAAATACCAAACAGATCATGCATTTTAGCCATGCCTCATTTTGCTCAATTTGACATTTTTTAGCTCTGTTTTTGCAAGGGCTGATTCATGTGAGAACAGCACCACCTACTGGCCTGGCATATGTACTACAGCGTCTCCAGCGCTTTCGAACGGCAATGGCCGTGGCTGTCTCCTCCTGATTGGTGGAGTTGGCCCAATAGCCGTAGCGCCACCGTCCTGACGTCAGGACAGTGTTCAAATCTGGATCAGTTTTTATCAGATCCGTTGCAGCGCCTTTTTTAGAGATTTGGGTATGGAGGAAAATAGAGAGGGTTGTGTTTTCTGACACTTGGTGAGTTCCCTGGAACACCGGGGACACATATTCATGTAGAAAAGACGTACAAAAGTGCATTTTGCATGATAGGTCCCCTTTAAAGAAGAGTCTGCCATTGTTGTGAAAGATGGAAATATTTGGGTTTTGTACTGCAGGTAAATCAAAACAGTTTTAAGATGTCACCGTGGGCTTAAGAAATCTCCTGATTGTAGAAGCCAAAAAAAGATTATTTAGCGAGTTAATCATTGTTATTATTATTTGTTTATATTGCACACGTTTGTAATGGATTATCACTTCTGGAAATTGTCAGTTGGGAGTGGTTTATTGGTCCACCTGTTCTCTGTGTGACGAAGACGGTGAGCTGGCTCGGACATTTTCTGTTTCTGTTGTTCAATGAGCCAAACTTAGCCTCATAGCATCTTTATTTATTGGGAGTTTAGTCTCTACACTGATATTGTATTTAAAAAATTAAAATAAATCGGATGAGGAAAATAATGATGTAGTATTGTATTGATGAAAAAGTATGTTAGTTATACTCCTTGTCTCCATTTGAACTCTCTTTTGTCCTCTGTGTGTACAGGTGGCTGTTTGGAGAGATCACCTGTCAGCTGTATGCCATGTGTGGAGTTCTGTTTGGTCTCTGCAGCCTGACCAACCTCACAGCCCTCTCCCTAGTGTGCTGCCTTAAAGTCTCCTTCCCCAACCATGGTGAGAGGGTCACACACTTAACCAAGAGGCTATTTTTTTTATCTGTAGTCCCTGGACAGATTTTGTAAGTCAACCTGAAGACACATTTTATTTTATACAAGTAAATACAATCTAATAAAACACAAAAAGAACATGTTAAAACACAGTGGGTTGTAAGGAGCAGGAGATTGTGTCAGTGTTGGCAGAGCTGATTCCTCACTAACCAGGTTTTGAATTGGTCTCTGATTGTAGATGGGATTGATCATGATACTATAACTACAAGTGAAAAGACAACAATAACCGCAAAGCGTCTTTTTGTATCTCCTGTCCTGTCCGTCAGGTAACAAGTTCTCGTCGTCACACGCCCGCCTCCTGGTGGTCGGGGTCTGGTGTTACGCCTCAGTGTTTGCCGTGGGGCCCCTGGCGCAGTGGGGCCGTTACAGTGCTGAACCGTACGGCACAGCCTGCTGCATCGACTGGAAAGCACCAAACTACGAGCTCTCAGCTTTGTCTTACATCATCTGCCTCTTCCTGTTCTGCTACGCTCTGCCCTGCACCGTCATCTTCCTCTCCTACACCTTCATCCTGCTGACGGTGCGGGGGTCGCGTCAGGCCGTGCAGCAGCATGTGTCCCCCCCTCAGACGAGGACCACCAACGCACACTCTCTCATTGTCAAGGTCAGAGGACGTGTGTGTGTGTGTGTGTGTGTGTGTGTGTGTGTGTGTGTGTGTGTGTGTGTGTGTGTGTGTGTGTGTGTGTGTGTGTGTGTGTGTGTGTGTGTGGCCTAGTATTACTATACTTGTGGGGACCTAAATCTGTTTACACAGTCATGTGTGGGGACTCACCTCCCTTATGGGGACAAAATGGAGGTCCCCATGAGGAGAATCATTAATTTTAGGGTGAAGACTTGGTTAGGGTTAGGTTTAGGTTTAGGGTTAGGGTAAGGTTTAGGGTTAGGGTTAGGGTCAGGCATGTGTTGGTTACAGTGGCGAACCGTGTCTATCACAACTGGACCTTCTGTAGACACACACACCCCCCGCCGCCGCCGTTATAATGTCCGTCTTCTCACCGAATTGACGTGTGTGTGTGTGTGTGTGTGTGTGTGTGTGTGTGTGTGTGTGTGTGTGTGTGTGTGTGTGTGTGTGTGTGTGTGTGTGTGTGTGTGTGTGTGTGTGTGTGTGTGTGTGTGTGTGTGTGTGTGTGTGTGTGTGTGTCGCTTCAACATGACTGGCTTTAGGTTCTGCAGTTGACATGATTTAAACAGGATATCAGAGCTGGGTAATTGATTTGTTTTGTAAAATGTTGCATATGCAGCTTACTGTGTGTGTGTTTGTGCAATTATGAATAATAAGATGGCCCTTCGGATATGTCTAACCTGGTTACTTTAATAAAAGCTTCTACTTTAAAGGGGACCTATCATGCAAAATGCACTTTTGTACGTCTTCTATACATGAATATGTGTCCCCGGTGTTCCAGGGAACTCACCAAGTGTCAGAAAACACAACCCTCTCTATTTTCCTCCATACCCAAATCTCTAAAAAAGGGGCTGCAACGGATCTGATAAAAACTGATCCAGATTTGAACACTGTCCTGACGTCAGGACGGTGGCGCTACGGCTATTGGGCCAACTCCACCAATCAGGAGGAGACAGCCACGGCCATTGCCGTTCGAAAGCGCTGGAGACGCTGTAGTACATATGCCAGGCCTCTAGATGGTGCTGTTCTCACTGAATCTGCCCTTGCTAAAACAGAGCTAGAAATGGTCAAATTGAGCAAAATGAGGCATGGCTAAAATGCATGATCTGTTTGGTATTTTGAAAAAAAAAAAGTATAAATATGCCTTATATAGGTATGGTCCTACACTATATTATTCAAATATAGCATGATAGGTCCACTTTAAGCTACGAACGCAAGTTAAGTACATTATTTACATCACTCTTAACAGAATGATATGTATCTTATACACAAACTAACTTACACACATAGTCAAAAATAGGTTAGATTGCTTTGGTTTTACAATGTCCACGAACAGCAGTCTCCTGGATGATACTCCTGTGTTTGTGTGACCCATCCATCTAACCTTAACTCCTCCAAACGGGGTCTTTATACCCAATAACCTGACTTACACCTATGCTCCTGTGATAATGACTAAGACCACTAGAAATCGTTGCCTCACAATGACCCAGCACACTGATAGATGAACAGCCTGAGCCCATTAGTAGGTAGAGAGGGGCCAATGACAACCGATACGGCCATTTATTCAGCTGATGACAAATGAAGCAAGGGTGCTATAGACTTTTTGCACTACTTTTTATTTTGTATTTTTGTATTTCATTATATACGTTGCATTGTTGGAGGAGCTCAGGTCAGAAGAATTGCATTGCCATTTCTACACTGTAGCTTTGTGCATATGACAATAAAACCTTTGAATGTTGACTGAATGTTGCTGACTGTGTTTCCTCCCCACAGCTGTCAGTAGCAGTGTGTATCGGCTTCCTGGGGGCCTGGTCTCCGTATGCCATCGTGGCCATGTGGGCAGCTTTCGGAGACGCCACGCTGGTTCCTCCTGAGGCCTTCGCCATCGCCGCCGTGTGTGCCAAGTCTTCCACCATCTACAACCCTCTGGTCTACCTGCTGTGTAAACCTAACTTTCGCGAGTGCCTCTACGGAGACACGTCCATGTTACGAAAGAGGATCTACAGGGGAAGTCCGATGTTAGAACCCAAAGAGCGCTTGGTATCGGCCTCGCAGCGGAACAAGGACGTGAGTCTCTCCACGCGCTTCTCTAACGGACAGCAGGAGAGCTACGGGGCGCTTCTGCACTGCACTGAGTCTTCAGCGCCGGGACATGTGGACGCAGCCCAAAGGACCGCCTGCAATCTGACTGCCTCCCCCTTCAGAGAGGTGACAGTCTGCCAGCTCTCCACCAAACCACAGGCTGAACTCGTCTAGTGGGCAAACCAGAGAGGACAGGTGCTTGGAAAGATAGAGGGAATACACATGGACAACAGAACAACAACGGGCACTCACAGGTTTGAATGCCCACAAGACTTTAAAGAAAACAAGACTTGCATGGACCTTTAATGGAATACTTTCTTAAAGACAATAATGAAAATTCCCTTTATTGCCAGAGATTCAAGAAAAGACATGACATGTTACTTGTTAGACGCTTTTATCCAAAGCGACTAACATACTCACTACTGTGGACAATCCCCACAGGAGCAATTTGGGGTGAAGTGTCTCAGGGACACAACGACATGCTGACTGCAGTGGGGTTTGAACCTGCTCCCCTGATCCGAACACCAATGCACTAGTCCACTGCGCCACACGCCTCCCTACTGCAGAATTGTTTGTGTGAAATGTCTTGATGCTACGTCTCTGTCAGCGTGTGTCCTGTTTGATTTGAATGTGCAGTAATATAACTGGATTTTGCAGGAGCAAAGAGTGTGACATAATATTTCATTTGATGATAAACCATGTATTATTCGGGCCAGGACTTCCTCCTCTCTGCGCCGCTTATTGTTTACAGTCCGATTAACAACTGGAGATGCAAGACTGAAGCCGAAGTCTCAGCTCTATAAAAAGATATCTACATATGGAGGGCAGATAAATAAATATGAAGCGCATGAAAAGATAAATCTTAGCCAAAGGGTTCCCAGATTATATTCATGCCAACACATTCCTCCTCTTTCCACACGGACTATTTACCTGCATGCAACCAAAGCCTGCCTGAATGTGATTGGTCGATACTAATCGGACTACAAACAGGACTACAAATTGAAACCAGGATGCTTCAGATACCAAAAGTCATGTTGGCGATCATTTGCGGAGGTATTAACAACCTAAATGATGGAGGTATCACCCCCCCCATATAGGCTGGAATATGGATGTTTGAACCCAGTGAGTCCATTGTTACAGAGAGTCAAACTGACAGCTGCTGTTTTCTGCTTGGAATAATTAGTTATTTCATTTCTCTTGTTGGCCGCTTTAAGCCTCCAGGGGCACATTATTTGATGCTAAAAATAAAGCTTCAGATGGAGTCTTATTTCCACTTTGCTGTAGCCTGCGGTCGTTCTCCTACACTGCAGTGTTTCCCATACATTGATTTATTTATCACAATTAAATATCGTCCGCCACAAATGGATCTAAAAAAAATATATATATAATAATCTTTTTTTTGTTTTGTTTTTTATTTTGGTGGTCTAATGGATAGTGAGGTGCTGATGATCGGAAGGTTGTGAGTTCAAATCCCGCCTGGAACACCACCACTAGTGTGCCCTTGAGTAAGGCACTTAGCCCTCAGTTACTCCAGGGAGAACGTCCCTGTAATTGGTCATTGTAAGTTGCTTTGGAATAAGGCGTCTGCTAAATGCCTAAATTGTAAATTGTAAATTATATTTTTGGGAGAATAAACCCCACAGATCCTCAACTCCGGTGTGTCTCACTCATTAACAACGCAACACAGAGCAACAAGAACGTTGTCTACAGTAGACATGAACTCGCATGTATGTTCTGATTGGAGAGGGGGGTGGATGCGTGGGCCACCCGAATAGAATCAAATTCTGTGGCAAACACTGCACTGCCAGATAAACCCCCCCCAAAATAGAGTTTGCACACTACTTTGTGGAAAGAAGTAAAGTAAAGGTGGAAACTCACAAAGAAATTAAACTAGAGGTCAATTTATTCTCATAATTAGGCAATCATTGTGACTGAAAATGAGACTTGAATGTTGAGAAAAACACAGAATATTCCTTAGGATTCATCTTGAGTAAATTAAGCTCATAATAAAGTGGCTATTAAACTCAGTGCTAACTAAGAACAATCAGGGTGTCCAGGTGATAACAGAATATGTTTGTTATTACCTAGCTGTGATCATATTTCAAGCAAGTAAATATTTTCCTAATTGATAATAATAATAATAATAAATAATAAAATGTCTTTATTACGGTTGATATTTGAATAATAGGACAGACCTTTAAATGCATCTTTAATGCATATTGGAATAATGCTCTTATTGTTTGTCTTGTACTGTAAGAATATGTTCTTGTGCCAATGTATGCGCATTTACTGTTACATTTCATCAATTAAACTTTTGGGATTTCTGACAGACGACTTGCTTTCAGTCAAAACAGAACACAGAGAGCCGTTTGCTGTGAAACTGTGTGCTCCATGTGCTCCATGCGCTCCATGTGTGCATATTAATAAAAAGGCTGTTTTTGTTGATAGCCGTATCAAAAGCAATGCTTATTCAGCTCTTTTTACTAAAGAAAAAGTAATTAAATGAAAACAACTTTGGAAAAAACATTTGATTTCTACCCGTTTATTTGATCCTCCAAAAGCGACGTGCCTGGAGTTCCTTCTATATGTAATTATCTCTGAGGGAGTGTTTCTTTGAAGGCTTTACCTCCCGGGCACACCAGGTTTCAATTCAAAGCCAATCCAATGTTCTACAAAGGAGTGAGTTCACTTTATTGCTCGATCTTCCTGTGTGATCGTGGATTGAAATTCCTGAGCTGCTGTGCAACCACTTTATATCTGTCGTCACCAGTGGCGAGCCGTCAGGGCCCTCTAGGCCCTCTGTGAGGGCCTAAGATATTCTAAAAAATAATATTTAAAAACATTTAAAAAAAATATATTTTTTTTTAAATGTATATATTTTTAATATTATTTTTGTTATATTTTTTATTAGTTTTACCGAAAAATAACTTGATTTAATTGTATTTAAAATAACATTTCCAAAGAAATAAATCCTTCGAATCTGCCTGTTCAGTCTCTGTTGAATGTGAAGGGTTACATGAAAGAAGCTCGTCTGGCCCTCTCTGCGATTCACAGAGGGTCCGCTATAGTAACTGAACGAGAGAGTAATGTCAAATGACAGTACAATTGACCAATCATATCTTCCCTCTAAATGGGTGGGTTTTATTATCGCGGACTTTATGACAAGTTCCGCCCGCTGTGAAACCTTTCTTGTTTCCATAGCAACAACAACTTCCTGTCAATAGCGTGAACTCGCCTTCAAAATAAAAGCATGCCAAATTACACTTAAGACATACAACTGCAACGAAAGTAACAAACACAATGCAATATCATTTTCAATGTCAAAGAACACAAATTGGGTTCACAGGTGTTGTTTTGTGTGGTAGAGGGTCGCTGTCATTGATGCGTTTTGCACCCTGGGCCGTTGTTTTGATATTCCGCTGAAGTATACGCTGTGACGTAATAACTATTTTTTTTTCTTTTTTTCGAGGGAATTGGTGGGGGTCAGAGGGCCTAGGTATAAAGCTCACGGCTCGCCACTGGTCGTCACTTTCTAAAACAAAAGCTGTAATGTTTGAGGAGACAAACATGCATGAACACTACATGAACACTGCATGAACACTGCACGAACACTGCACGAACACTACACGGACACTGCACGAACACTGCACGGACACTGCACGGACACTGCACGGACACTGCACGGACACTGCACGAACACTGCACGGACACTGCACGGACACTGCACGGACACTGCACGGACACTGCACGAACACTGCACGGACACTGCACGGACACTGCACGGACACTGCACGGACACTGCACGGACACTGCACGAACACTGCACGGACACTGCACGAACACTGCACGGACACTGCACGGACACTGCACGGACACTGCACGGACACTGCACGAACACTGCACGGACACTGCACGGACACTGCACGAACACTGAACACTGCATGGCTTTAAATACAATCTGCATTTTAGTGAAAGTGTCAAAGTGTGACAGAAACGTAAGCCATGTTTCACTATACTTCACTTTTAGTAATGAGATGCATAGATGTTTGTCTTCTTGGCCCCACCATAAGATATGACCAATATACGAATCACACTTCCACATGAAACGTCTTTGAATAAGCTAACATACATCGCAATATATAAACTGTTTTCATATGCAAATGATGCAGTTTAACCCCATCTTTGACAAACTCTCTGCCAATCCCACTACCATTCCCTGTTATTCATTTAGAGAACAATCCTCTTAATTAATGAGGTGTTTGTTTGAATCCTTAAATTGGAGATGTTAATCTGAGAAAGCACTCTCTCTCCAAGAGTTAAAGACGTATTTAATGCACTGCACTCCTTCATTGAGAGTGCAGCTTCTCCCCGTCGTTGTTTGGCTCCAGCATTGTAGGAGGAGTACTTTGAGCAAAATCATGATGACAGCAAAGCTACAGCAGGGAGGGGGGGGGGGGTGCCAACACTCTGAAGATAATGTGCATCTACACAATGCACATATAAGAAGGAGAGCTTAAATCTAAGAACAACAAAACAGAAATCTGTATATTTTTAAGAGTGGGTCTTCTTCTTATCAGATTAAGATTCACTTTATTAAACGTTTGTTTGACAACAGGACACCATCAAGTCCAAAGGAGGGCGGTCCAACTCCACTAAAGGAATTATAATGCAATTTTGTCGACTAAACAACAGACTTTTAAAGGGGACCTATCATGCAAAATGCACTTTTTGATGTCTTTTATATAAATATGTGTCCCCGGTGTGTCAGGGAACTCACGCAGCGTCAGAAAATAAAACCCTCTCTTTTCCTCCGTACCCAAATCTCTAAAAACGGGGCTACAACGGAGCTGATCCAGATTTGCGTCCGATATGACGTAATATCTGAAATGTGGACCCACGGCCCTATCAGAAACATTGCTATCAGAAACAATGCCCGACTGTTTTGGACGTAATATGGTCGGTGTTTACATTAGCATCGCTAACACTCAGAGCTAACCTGTACTGGAGAGCATGTGTGTGAAGAAGCAGGAAATAAAAAGGAACTCACCTTGTGGTATAACCGGCAAGAGAGAAAGCCTTTGAGCTCCATACTGTTTCAGAAATAATCCTTGATAATCCATGATATGGCGTTTCATCACTGCAGTATCTGCCGGTAGAATTTCCCGCATGAACAG